AGGAAATTCTCGCTGATACGACTTATGTGTTCACCGAACTCAAATCCATACCTGGACTATCCTCGTCCTATGCTCCATAAAACTGTACCTATTGGTGGAATCGCTGTCCATATTGATCCCAAGAAAAATGAGCTGTCGAAGGTGCAAGTGTTGTCAGTCCTTCCATTCTGCTTTCAGCTTTCTTGGTAGACATAAATTTGCAGAAGTGGGATAGCATACTGAACGAGAGAAACACGACTGTACTGGTCTCATTCGGTTCAGTGGCCAAGGCAATCTACATGCCAGATGAGTACAAGTGAGTTCCTTTGTGCCGCTATTTTAGCATGAAAATGACGAAGCAAATCGTGGAGTAAATGCGAACATTGGTGGTTATGGAGCATGTGAGAAAAGAAAAAAGTTGCCAAGTTCCGCTTCTTTAAGAGAAAATCTCCTTGAAGTTTTCAAGAGCATGCCTGAAACAACGTTTATATGGAAATACGAAGCCGAAGGCTCTCAAATAGCTGCTCAGCTCGAGAATGTTCACGTTAGCACGTGGGTACCACAGAACGCTCTTCTCGGTAAGTAAATTATTGACGTAAGGCGGAAATTCGAGAGAAAAAGGGGGATCGTTAAATAACATGCACGCTTACCATCGTTGAGGATCTTCTTTATGGGATAGAATGTATGTGGAACGAAGCCATTTTTGGGCATATCTTGTTTCTAAGTTCTGACCCCTCTTTTCTCATCACCTGCAACAGTGCAGCGCTCCGATAAACAACAAAACAGTCTGAGAATGGAAACAAGCGAGAAAGTGAGGTGAAGTAAGAGGGGCATTCGAGAGTGGACCGTATCTCAGAAGACATTTTGATATGGAAAGGGTTCGTGGACTTTTTGCTTTTGCTTTTCTGCTTTGTGCTGTGAACAAAACGGTTAGGGTGGTTAATTTAGTCCGAAAACAGAGTGACCAATAGTTCATCTTGGTCCAGTGGAGAAGTTGACAGGTGCCATTTGGTATTATGATTTTTCGTTTGAATGTTGTATGAGATCATTTCGAAAAACCAATGCTGGGTAGGTGGCGGCTACAGGAAACCACACTGGCCTCCATAGTCAAACGGAGGAGAAGCAAAAAAACTGAAACAGATCAGGTGATAGGCATATGTCTGAGAAGCAAAAAACTAAAACAGATGCCAGAGTAATAGGCATATGTCTATGTGTGAGGTTTTCAGATAATCAAAGCCTCTGTCTCACTTTTGAAGTAAGAGAAGACTTTCGAAGGATGAAGTCATTTTTTCACTCACTCGCTGAAGTTCCACTTATCTTCTTGTAGTTTACGTGTAATCCTTTTAAACGATAACCTTCACGATAAGGGAAGATTATCTTGAGAAGAGGACCTATCGTCCCAGTTTGATAAGGAGCGGGGTATCCAAAAGATATGAAAGTTGTGAAAGATTAACGTGCAGTAACAAAAAGCAATTCAGCCGATCCCCGCCTTACGGCTTTCATCACTCATGGAGGCTTAGGTAGCACCACAGAACTCGCTCATTTGGGAAAGCCCGGCGATACTGGTAGGTTGTAGTAGTATTAGTACACAAGTTCTGTCTGAATACATATAATACGTAATTTTTTCTACTTTGAGGTCCCTCTTTTTGCTGATCAGACAAGAAATGCCCACATGCTTGCGAAACACGGTGGAGGTATCGTTCTATCTAAGTTTGCTCTGGAGCATCCTCAGATGCTCACGAAAGCTCTCAAAAAAATCTTCAATGACGCAAGGTAGAACATTCCCATACTTTTATGAAGTACAGTACATTATTTTGGTGGAACAGCATGCCTTTCAATAAGAGATCGATCGTACTACAGATGTGGGATTGTTTTAGCTTCTCTCACAATGCCAAGCGGCTGTCGCAGATGCTTCTGAATCAACCAATCAGTGCAAAACAACTTCTCGTCAGACACTGCGAATTCGCAGCTAAGTGAGTTGTTCCTGCTGGAACCCTGCTATAGCATAGATAGAACTCTAAGCGTAGTTGAATAGCCTCCCTTCTAGCGAAGAGTGATGTCTGGAGAACCCTAAAAGTGACTACCCGTAATCCAAATCCGGATATTTCTGCGACTCTGAGAAACTGACCCTGCAACTCGACCGAAGGCAAGTTCCACTCCGAAAAAAGCAGTCACTCAACTAGCACTGGACGATTCCACGGAACTTTGTAAATTTTTCTTTTCATTATTGGGAGCAGACAAAAAATGATTCAGGGACGCGCACCCGTGCTCTAATATTTCGCTAGATAATATCGGGTCGAGAGTATGATGGCGCAGCCTATACTGCTTCGTAGAGCTGTCCAACCCCCTACGTTGCTTGTATTTCACCAAGAACATATTGAAGGCCAGGGAGAGAAAACTGTGACACTAGCATGAAGCGGGAGCATAAATAGAGTGGTTTTTAGGCAAGTGTCGGAGTCCTCGACATTTTCCAAAGTTCGCTAATCCTTATCATACACGCGGTTAATTCGCTTCAGATTTGGACGTCTGCCGAATCTCGACCCTTATGGAAGGCAGCTGTCTTCTCTTCCAGTATTATCTGATCGATCTGTTATTTGTTGTTGTTACTGCCGTTGTTGTTAGTCTTGTTGTCGTTGTAAAATTATGAGGATGTTTTGCTCATTGAGGGTTAAAGTGAAGAAAGAGTGAGCTTATACCAAAACCCTACGAGTATGTACATGTCTATGAAAATGTGTTGTTAAACGGTATTAAAAATTGCGAGATTGAATAGTCAAGGGTCAAAAAGTTTCGAATCTGTGTGACTGATGAGTGATTCTAAATGCTCTATTTGTTTGAAGATAAGGCAAGGACCATGGATGAAATTGTATGCGTATTTCCACAGAACATTTTGGAATCCATGTGATTTACAATTTGGTTTAACAGCTGGGATTGATGATCAAATCAAATCGAGGGAGTACAAAACGGGCGCGAGCAATACGCCGATTCTAGAAGAAAAATAAAGCCAATGAAAGAAGAACCTGCTGCAGTTTGCTGCAGGTGCTAGGGCCTTTCAGAGGGATGAGCTAGCTTTGGTTCGGTGTCAGCCTTTTCTCCACTACTTGTGGAAGCTGACAGACCTTCGCAATCGGTGGGATAGTAGCTAGCACCGAGCTAGACCCAGCCTTTACTCGAGCGTCCGGAGCGAACAAGACTGAATCTCTCTGCAGGGTGAGCGATACTCTACTCAAAAGGAATTGGAAGAAAGTGGACTTAGAACTGCGCGTAAACAATTTCCTAGGCTCTTATCTTCGATTCTTGCCAAGAGTGCATCTCTCATTCTCTGCGGTAACTTCCCAGCAGGAGGACCACAAAGCTTATCAAGTCGCAGTAAATTCTAGTCGTAGTCACCTTTCCACACCACATACGTTCGAGTGCACTTTTGGGCAGAGAACGTGGCACGGTACTGTCCTGGGGTTACAATGACCACATTTGAAAGTGCACAGCTAGTCTTCAAGCAAGCGTAAAAACGTGTCTTACTTCTATGCGGCAAGCTTGATAGCCACGAAGTAAATCTTTTTGAGCCCAGTTCTACGAAAAACTCCCACAGTCAAGCTGGTTGTTGTCCTAGCCCTCGTTTGAGGTTCGCAGAAAGGTAGTCGATGAAAGTTTTGGTCCCACGATGATTGCAGGATGACGTGCTCAGCCCACATGATCCTTAAATAATTCGTTGGCAAAAGCTGCAGAGCCTCTAATCTTTGGTCATTGACGTACCACGAAACTGGCGAACCTTGACATTCACTCTCAGAAAAAACGAATTATGATAGCAACGTTGCTTCGGATTTCCATAGGTGAATACTTCACTTGAAAAAATTCCTAAAAATAACTGAACACTACACTAACACAAAAATGTGCTTACCATCAGAACACTAACTCGATAAGGGGGCGGAGATGAGCGCTGAGCAGCGACGTGGTCGAGCGAATGATGGCGGTGGGAGGGCGGATGCAAATAAATCATACAATCGCAATCCCCTCTTTGCAACAAGAATGCTTTGCTCTACGCAAAAGTCTTGACCCCACGCGGTACTAGTACTCGCATCTCATGCTCTCCCGGAGCGCAATCCGTTACGAGCGCAATCCGTTACGCCACCATCACGGTTATCAAAGTAATAGAAAATAAGGATCTATAAGTGATGGTGAGATCACAAAAACTTGAGGGCAAATGGCGTGATAATTGTACTCGATCTAAAATGCTGTGAGGGCACTATATAGTGGAAAATGAGTTAAAAAAAACGGAGTGAATTAGTCACAAACCTGCAAAAAAAAGGTTTCGTTTTCAGTGGCTCAAGGAGCGATTTCGGACGAGTCCACTGTGAGCAACTTGCCAATAACCGCTGCGGTAGGTACGACTGCACATATGTACTATATTCATGCCGCGGCCGCGATGCCAGCATCCGCATTGGTCGTCCATTTGTGGAGTGGGCGCACACGCGGGCGGTGTATGGGTCGGTATGTTGTAGCATGATAGGGCCTCACAAGGCTGCCTTCCTCGGAAAAGGCGCTTGTTCAGGGTCGCGAAATCCCTTCCTGCCAGTATCTATCAATCCTGCTCGTGTTGAGGATTTATCGTGCCAACTGCCCTCAAGCACCAGCACTGAACAGCTGTGAAAAAAGGAGTCCGAGAAAGGGTGGCAGGGCCTAAGATTACTTTCCCGAGCCCTAGTTCTTCTGCAGGAATGAACCTCTCTTTACCAGGGGGCCGCCAACTTACCATGGAACTTTGATTGGAGACCTGGGCAGATCGTTAGAGTCTATAAGATTATTCACAATTGTATGGTGCTCATCATTGCAGACCGGTGGGGCGGGTGAGCCGCGCCGCGTGTGACTCGGCTGTGACGCGACTGTCATCGCTGCCGCGTCACAGCCGAGTCACACGCAGCGCGGCTCACCCGCCCCACCGGTCTGCAATGATGAGGACTGTAGATAGCAAAACTGCAACCTGCATTTCACAAGCAACTTATGAGCAGGTAAAGTTTGTAATGGTGCAGTAGGGTGGAGGCTTGGTGGTGAGCTGTGAAGCATAAGCGAGGAATCGCATACGTCGAATCGAGTCGTCGAACGTCGAACCTTACTGAACCACCACGACTCGATTCGACGTATGCGATTCCTCGCTTATGCTTCACAGCTCACCACCAAGCCTCCACCCTACTGCACCATTACAAACTTTACCTGCTCATAAGTTGCTTGTGAAATGCAGGTTGCAGTTTTGCTATCTATATTTGTAAATAACCTTATACTCTATCGATCTACCCAGGTCTCCATTCAAAGTTCCATGGTAAGTTGGACGGACTTCCGTGGTTAGAAGTGGATATAGAACACGATTGAAGCTGCACCCAACCCGATTCAAAACCGCCGACTGAAGAGGTGACTCCTTCTCTAAGACACCATCCACCCTATATTCACATCCTCAGACATTTAATGTGTACGAAAGCAATGACTTGCTTCTCCTCCGTGTCAGGGGTTAGTGTTTTGCTACAGAACTTCGCTGAAAATGGGATTTCAGCGCCACTTTGGTATACTGGCGGCGTTTCATTTCAAGATGACTAATGATTTTCTTTTTACTCCTCTAAGCTTGAGAAGGACGACGAAGGAGTGGTTTAACTTAGGTGAGCCATCGTGCCAGCACATACATTCCCCGGAGGAATAGGGGCGCGGCTGCGTTCTTCTTCTGTACATGGACTGAGCCCCTAGTGGAACATTCTCGCTTTAGGGCAGTCGTATTCGTGCCCTTAGAAGAAGGCAGGAGGAGAGCAGTCTTTAATGAGACGAATGAATGAATGGAATGATTCTGCGAAAAGCGTATCCCAGCTGTCTTCAAATGAAAATTAGTCGCACCTTTCTCCTGGAGAGCGAATGTACCTTGGAGACTAATAGTGGGACTGTATATTATGATTAGTGGCGTCTAACTACTAGCCTGCAGTCGCTAAATGACTCTCCAGGGAGGGGATGGCAAAAGAATCATGATGAAAATCTTGGGGGCTCCCCGTAGCATCACTGTAAAAGCTCTCCGCACCTACTGGATCTATGCCAGCAAAGCATTGCACCCTCTGGCTCAGTATTCCTTACTTCGTCCTCCAATGTTAGCCATCAAACAGTGGGACAAAAAACGAGAACATGCTGCAAAAATCAAAATCGAGACAGAAAATAGTCGCTGAGGGGGGGGGGAGTATAACCCGAGAGGCGTCAGAATTCACTTATGGAAATCGCAGCGCCTCCGTTACTTTTTGTGAAGCCACGAAAGTGAGAGAATCTTAGAGATAAGACCACACTACATGAACAAGCTAGGACGCCTAAGAATCAGTTGGGCGCAGGGGCTGTCTTCAGAAGTCCAAGCATTTTTAGAGTCACTAGCAGTGACTCTAGTGATGGGTGAGCGCGCACTAAATTGTCCCACATGGACAATATTTCTTGCAAGACCTCCTCAAGAACATTCATTACACATTTATGCTTTGTGCAGGAAAATGTAGTGTGCTTGATAATTTCGGCGATGAGACGGTGATAAGAGAGATTATTGTATTACAGACGCCTATCACGGATTAGAGAAAAGCTTAAAATGTGTCTTTTGAAAAAACGACTGATGTGTACCATTTAGGAGTCTGTCTTTGCTTACGCATTTGATATCATTCGACGAAATACAGATTACTAGATGTTGATGGTGCTGAGGTCACCGTAAACTGTCAACATTGGTAAATAGCGATAAGATTCTGGGTCCATGATGTGGTGGTTATTGTCTCGCCCTATTTGTGCTTCCTTATCAACACTTCGTGACCGTCTCACTCTGATTTATAGACCATTCCTTGGCAATTCTGCGGGGTTGACGGTTTTGAGGTCGGAGCTACTTCCTTTTTCAGCAATATTGCTTGTACAATGCTCGTATGTTTCCTAAAACGATTTGCTTCAGCTGAGGAAATTCTCACGCTCTTTTCTACTTTTTTTGATCCCAAGTTGTAGTGACCTCGCTTTTACATATACTGACTGAGGAGTTAACCTGAGACGTTGAGTAGCAAGATGATGAGTTGCCGAGCAAGTTTTCCGCTACCAGAAAATCTTTCTCGATCAAGAAAAGCACATGCAGTGCTTTTCTTGATCGAAAAAAATCTAGTAAGGCACTGCTCCATATTTTTTGAAAGGGTGTTGGGCTCACTAGCCCTTGCTCCTCTGACGATTCTACTTATGCTGAGTTTTTTTGTGCGGGCCGTAACCTGCAAGGTACAGTCAGGAAAGAAGATTAAGTCTACATTTGCAGCATACCTCACCGAGACCTATTGCGTTAGGTTTCACCTGAGCTCAGCTCTTCAAACTAATCCACTCGCTGTGGTATTACTCTGTCGTGTGGTACTCGTTACATTTCGACTTTCACCACTTTTCATCTTAGGTATGGGCCGTTTTTGGGTAATTTTGCTGGTATTCTCTCTGCAATTCCACTGATGCCTACAAGTTCCTCGTTTATTCGCCTCTGTTCGGGTATTCTCATACAAACTTCATGGGAGTCATCGCTGATATCCTTACTGAAGCTGGGCATGACGTGGTGAGTGAAAATATTTCAGACTGTTCCTTTTTGAAAATGCTCAAAATTTTCCACTTCTTTCATTAGCTCCTTCATTTCGTTTACGCTGTTGTTTCACTAGGGTCTCCTAAAAGTTCGTGACATTTTTTGAATCTCGTGCTAGATCTTTCCGCAGCTATTTCAAGATGTGGTCTATGGGAAGTGTTGAGTAAGCAAACCATAGTTGCTTTACCGTCCCTTGCACTCGCTAATCTCATATCCAAAACGCTAGATAAATTCATCATTTTCAAAACACTTCGCTATATGAATCTCCACCAAGTGGTAGGAGCCACACATGGCATTTGCTCTGAGTCAAGTTCCTGATGCTATCCACACTACGGCGCTGGAATGGCGCGATCGCATTCATTAGTGACTCGGGACTACCTGGGAGAAAACCTCGTCTAAAGGAAGCCATCTGCCTTGGATTTGGACCATACTACGTTCCTTGAATGAAAGCAATTCCGTACGTGCCAACTCGCCATCTAGTTTCTACCCTTTCACTTGTTCCAGAAGCACAAATGACAGAGGTCCTCACTCCCTCAGTGCTGAACTTCGGTCAGTCTCATGAGCTGACCGATATCCAAGGGGAAGCGCAACGCTGAGGTAACCAGCGAGCCGTTTTGTGGTCAGCTGCAGAGGGAAAATGAAAATCCTCAAAATATGGTCTCACAATCCGGCAATTGTTGCCTACTCCACTACAGCTCAAAGTCACACATTCTTGAAATGACAGAAATCCTGAAGCTAGCTTTGGAATTCCACCACAGCCTTTAGCGTAGATCTGACTTAGCCTTTTCTGATTGCCATTTGAAGCAATCCCTCAGCGACAATGTTGTGGGTAATACGATTTTCAAAAGCACCTCAAGAATGACCCAGCTGCCTTTCTCGGCACGGAACCAAAAAGCTTCTGGAAGCAAGGCAACCACTCTTTGCTCGGTGATTGGCAACAAGTTGCCGATGAAGGTAATGTGTTTTTCGTTGGTCGAATTTGTCTCTCATTCAAACTAAAGTTACTTCAAAAGTCGAAAATGTCACGAACTTTTGGGTCGCTTTGATAGGACCCTGCGGCGTAAAGTAAGTCAGCACCCTCATCTGCCGCCTGCCTTACCTTTTTGAGGGAACATGGTATGCCCTGATACCATAACCATCAGGCTGGAGGAAACGGCCTGGAACACTTCGAGCAAATTGTTCCAGAGAGAAAGCAGCTTTCGGATGTTTCTGATGCCGATAAGTGGACGTATTCTCTGCGATTTTTGCGGACGTTTTACAAAATTTTTCCTGTGAAGGATGCCACATAAGTTGAAGCACTCTGACAAAGTGCACCGAATGGTGGTGACTGGGTTTTCTCTTCATTGTACATATTGGAAGATTTTTTCGTGATATATTGCGATTAGAAACAAGAGAGGAGTTTTTTGCGTGCACCATGCACATATCATTCACAGGATCTCTCACAGAAGTGGCCCACTTAGCCAAGACCAGATGAGCACTGAAAAAAAAGATGTCACGGTGCACTGGTGAGACTTCAATGCTATGTCGCTGGATACTGGCACAGCAGGAACGGTCATGGCTTACTCCTATAAATTTCGAAACGTGGATGATGTCACGCTTGATTTCATACCGAAACACTCATCTTCTTTCCTCTTCTCGACAATGAGAGAAGCGCGCGTAGCGATGAGGCTGCGCCAAAAGATCATAGGTCTCGACAAGGGATTGGTCTCGTACCCGGCTTACTCAATAGCTTGGCAGCTTCTAACCACCACCTACATTGGTCCCTCTGCACCCTTTAGAAACCAAAGCTTTGGAAATCAAAGTCTGCCAAAGTAAGGTATCCCTCTTCTTTCCATCGTAGATGCCGTAGCAAAAATGGAGTCAAAAACTTTGAGGAAGGTTAATACTTGTCCTAATTGTTGAGAGTGGTTATCTTAGAATTGGAAGTCCCTTTAAGGAATCTTTAGTCAGCAATTTTGGTCAAAGTGTTGCAGAAGTTTTTTTCAGCCTATTATTATCCTCCCTATGACAAATGGGAGGCGAATCCTCAGTCAGCTTGACTCCAGTAACGAGGAGTGATATCAATATCCATATTTGAGACACTCCTGCTGCCGGTTATGGATTCGGAGGAGGGGAACAAGACTGGAGTGAAGCTAACAAAGAAAATCATCAAAACACCCATCGATCCACGAGTTGATGAGATGATGAAATATAAATCAGTCATGCTGAGCCACATGTGGACGATGCAACCAACGGTTTTCGGGCTCTTACAGGTATGAAATCAAACTATTAGAGCTGAATATTCTCTCATTGCAAACAATTTGCCGATGTTTTTCTCCTTTCGGGCCATTACTGTAATTACTAAACAATTCGCGAAATGGAAAATCAATACCGACTAATGGGTAATAGATGGACTCCGTTACTTTTGGTGGGCTTGCTTTCTGGACTACCAGCATTTTGGGCCAGTTTTCAGAGGGAAACAAATAGGACACCCGGCGGAAGTCTATCTGACGTCGACGTCAACTAACAA